TTTTACCCAAAGCTACGCTCTCACTCCCCAATTGTTTAATCTCCCATGGACTATGGAATCTCCTATGGACCTGCCTGCTTTTATATTTGTTCTCAACCAAATCAGAAGATGGCGCTGCTCCCTTTGCCTTCCACCTGTCTATCTCTGGAAGTCAGATGAAGGGATTTCTGCAGAGACTGAGCTTAGAATAAGGTTCCAGGTCCTGATGGTGTTAGCCCCACAGTCCTGTAGGCCTGTGCAGAGCAGCTCTGTGGGATTTTACAGCACTTCTTCATCCTTAGCCTCATCCAGGAGATGGTTCCAGTGTTATGGGAGACCTCCTGCTTTCTTACAGTTACAAAGAACACTTAGCCAACAGTCCTTAATAACTATGCAAGTGTTTCCCTGACATCCTGCAATATGAAAGTCCATTAAAGACTCCTTTTAATCAACCTGAGAAAGCAGACAGTCATCAGGTCCCCTTAAAGTTTGCTTACTTCTGTGGAGTTGGACTTAAAGATGTCAAACGTGCTTGAACAAATCCATTTTCATTTAGACAAGGCAGACAGCAGTGTGGGGATCATTTCCTTCGATTTCCACAGCATTTCTTAGGTTCAGTCTGATTTGCTTTGTCAAAAATTCCTGAAAATGCAGACGGAGGCCTCAACAATTGCCAAGATCAAAGTGTTTGTAAGACAGAAGGGTCAAGTGTTTAACCAGATAGGGACACAGGAGCACCATAGTGGAAGATACTCTCACCATTCCTTTTGCTCTGTACACCTCTGACTTCCAGTACAAAGTAGAGTCACACATGGCGTGTATCCGGGATGGACAAGAAGCTGAGTAAGACGAGGTGCTAACCTGCTTTATGGCATGGTTTGTACATAATTATCTAATCCTGATAGGAATAATAGTCAAATAAGATAATGGAAGAAGAAGTAGGAGTGGAGAAGGAGTATAAATACCTTTGTGTTCACCTGGACAACAGATTCTACAGCTGTGAGGCCATCTATAAGAAGGGGCGGAGCTGGCCCCGATTGCTGGGCTGAACCATACATATAGCAGAGGGAGCAGGTGAATAAGATCAATAATAATTAAAGAAGGGAGAGAAAACAGCAGGTGAATGAAGTGAGTAATTAGGGGTGCTTCAGCACCCCCCAAAATGGGCTAACAACGCCTATGGCAGAGCAGTCTGCACTTCTTAAGGAGGCTTAGGTCCTTCAGCAAGATGCTATATATGTTTTAGAAGTCTGTTGCAGGCTTAAAGAAACTTAACAACCAAATACAGAATTGCAGCTCTGTTCTGGAAGCTCCTCCAAAACCACTGGAAATGATTTAAAAAAGGGAATCAAATAGAATGGAAAACAATTTAAATGAACTGATCTGAACAAAATAGATTTTGACTTCTCCAAGCAACACATAACTGTAACACATTGAACACAGTTGATGGTATTTTCTGACAATTTCAGGTTCCGTTTTTTTCTCATATATTACAAAATATTTGCCACACAAGGATGTTAGGTAATATAAAAAACTAGTTGCTGTCATGTTTGCTGCTATCATCAAAAATAAAATATGATCTAATTTGTCATGTGGGTTTGATCAATTTAAAGGAATGTGTTAACTTTCCACCAATTGTTTCCTCATTGCAGCGGATCATTGAGACAAACATAAGTATTAGTCATGGATCTCATGGGATGAACATCTAGTACAGCCTGATGTTCTCACATGGCTTTGTGACACACTCATGACTGAAAGTTAAAAACCTAATCTTAAAACAATATAATCAGTTTCAACATTAGCCCTGAAGTTAAGAGGCGGAAAAAGATCCAGTCTAAATGATCTAAGAAAAAAGCTAAATATAATCAATCATCAATTGGTGACATATGATTAACCAAATGCTGAAAAGAACAGTGTGACCAAACTCAATATCCCAGCCTTAACGCTAGAGGAGAAATCAAAAGTGCAGACATGATGGTTAAAGAGGTTTTTATGATGTAAAGAAAATAAAAGCATGATAAATCATTTCAAAACATTTCTTACACATAATTCACTATTTTTGTGTATAAATAAAAAATGTGTGAAGGCGGGCTCATTATTAATCCATTTTTTTTCCTTTTGTCTTCTTCGTTAAGACTTTTATTGGTGAACCTTGAAATAGTTCTTAACTAGTCACAGAGAATGTCTCTCATCCTTAGACCCCTTTAGGGACCTCCAAAGACTTAATGCTCAATGATTTTCTGTCTGGACTTTGATCTCTAAGTCATTCCAAAACTTTCATTTTGGTCTAAAAAAGTAATTCCTCTGTTGGTTTGACTTTTGCTTGGGTTCTCTGTGATGCTGCTAAATAAAATCTACACCACACCACAGCCTGAATGTTTTATATTGTAAAATGAATGGTATTTAAAACAGATCATGAACTGATTTATTCTTCTTCATCAAAAACCTTCATCTGAGGAATAACAACACCAGAGCATGATACTAATTATTACCATGTTTCCCTTTGGATTATGTGGTGTTTTTTTTACTTGTGCTGGGTTCTATTTTAAGATGATTTCAACCTGGAGAGACCCACACACAAAGAAAAGTTAGATTTATTGATGAATCTGGCAGTTCTTTGGTGCTTGGACCTCAGCAGAAGAGTGAGATGGGATTAGAGATGTCTGCCTCCTAGATCCTGACCCTCGTGTTGGAGTGGAGGCCAGAGGAGAAGGAAAACCAAAGGAGCTCTAGAACATGATGGAGGACATGGGGGTCGAAGCTCAGCTGAAAACCAGGGGAGTCTGTCAATTGAAAGCTTTATGCAGAGCCATATGGGATGATTGGATGAAGAGGGAAAAGATGGTGATTGGTTAGAACAGAGCTGCATGACGAGGAGCCTTTCTGTTTGAATTTGCATCTAAACTTAATTTTTGTTTAAAATAAAACATGTCAGTACTTATTAGTTTTGCTCAGAAATATGACTGAATAATTTCCTAGTTTGGGATTTTAAAATAACATTATCCCTCCTTTTAATAAGCTTGCAGGGGTGGAACTAGCCTTGGAGGTATGCAGTGACATTACAGGTGCCTCAACCCCCCTGGATATAGATATTGTTTTCATGCTCATGTCTATATGTCTTGTTAATGGACTCAAAAAAGGAAGACTTTTATTACAGAGTTTCTGTTCTCTCATTCTCTGTTCCTCTTTCTTAGTTCAACATTCTCCTCTGTGGTGACTGACTTGAAATAATTCCCTCCAAAGACACAATAAACAGGTGATCAAATGAAATTTAAACCATTCTGGTTATCTAGGTGTTCGGAATCTCACTATATTATAGTGAGATCACATATATATATTTTTTTTATCATAATTTTTTTTTTTTCACTAGATACCATCACTGGTCTCCTTTATAGAAGATGCCTCATGTCCTTTTGTAGTTTTCTCAGTTAGGTCACATAGTCAAAGAAGCAATATTTTTAAAAGTATAAAATTACACATCTTGCCAATTTATGTCTATAAAGCTAATATCTAATAATATAAACGAATAACTTCAGTAGCTCTTCTGATAATTTATTCTCTTCCTTTCTTTATCTCCATCCTAAAATCTGAATAACATTATTGTTGTGTATGGGAGTTTTTAAAAATGCAGAAGTAAAACTAAGAATGATATAAAAGATTGATATCTGATAACTATGTGTTGAATAGCATTTATAATATACGTCAATGTTGCCCTGTAGTGTTCTATCTGAGTATGAAATGAGACGGCTGCCAGCAAGTTATTTTGTATTTGACTCAGTGGTTTAGATTAGACAAACTACATTTTTATACAGAAAACAAAGATCTGTGTGTCAAGTCGACATTCTTCACTGTTTGCATCTGAATGCAGAGGCAGAAGTTCAACTGATCCTGGACCGTTAAACCAGATTTGAGCTTAATCACACAAACTGAAAACAGATTAACAAAAACAATGCTCAAGCCAAAAAAAAAAATAAATCAATACCAGAAAAACATTATTTTGCCAATGATTGCAATAGCAGCTGCTTCTTTGTCTCTGAGTAGAAGCTCCTCGTCTCCCCAGTTGCAAGACAACAGAACCACCTCTTTTCAGGTGGCTCTGGAGAGGGGCCAACAGGGGCCAGGGCTCCTGGTCCTGTTCTCATTACGTTTGTTATGATGATATGCACTGGCAGAGAAACCATAGCTGACCAGTTGGAACAATATAATTTATTACTTTTTCAGATTTGCTTTAATAATTTGTGACACTGGGATTCTGTGCCTCAAACTGATGATGAGTTCTGGCTACATCATGGCCACAGGGATGTGCCTTTGGCTGGCTGGTAAGAGCACATGACTTTTACCCGACAGTCTGTGGCATCAAATCCCGCCTCAATTGGGTAAATTGCCCCAAGTTATAAGAAAAATATAGTTCTCCATCGCCCCTCCTCATATAAACACTCTTTGCACCACTTGGAATGCTTCATCATTCCATTGTGTTTGGTTTTTAATAAAAAGAAGAACTTTGACCCAAAAATAAACTTCCAGCAGATAAAATCACATAAAAGCAATGTTGATTATGAAAAAGGAAAAAAAGGGGGAAAAAATTACAAAATGATTAATATCTCTCAAAATAATCAGAGGAACCTTTTCTTAGTGTCATTTGATTCCTTATTTTCACATCAGCTTTTTTGCGTGTTTGCATCTGTATTTCGAATAACCAACTTTATTGATGAGACATGTCAATGAAAATTAAAAGAATAGCTACTATAGACCTACAACTAGAAGGAGTATGGATAATGTTAGGTTGATTATAGTCTAGTAAAATCAGAAACGTAAGAAATCTAATTTTATTTGCACACCCAAACTCCTGATGCTTTTTCAGAATATCTAGTAATTAATAAGTAAGTAACCAATAGTTACCTAAATTCATGCATTCCTTTCATTGGCTGCGGATGAGGCGCGTCTCCTGTGGGTGGTGTGTGCGCACTGCGCGAAAGGCAATAAAAGCCGCTGTTTTGCGGCAGGTGGCCCTCCTCTCCGTTCCGTTAACACATTCAAGGTGGTCTGATAGAAACATGGAGACTCCTAACAAATCTAGTACCGTTATTAGCTTCGTCTGCAGAGGAACATTAGTGCACTCGACCCCTGAGGAGGCGCTGCAGGTCCTGGAGGATGCGCTGCTGGGAGTGAACTCGGATGGAAAGGTTTTGCGTCTCATATTCTATTTATTATGTCTGTCGTTAAAGTTTTGTTTGATTGGATCGCTGTCGCTCATAATATAAAAAACACAGCGTTTTTTAAAAGAAAAAAAATATTTTTAGAGCTGAGATAAAGCTTTATTCTGTTGTGTAAAATGACAAAATTGACCTTTGAGAGTTTAGATAAATATCCCAGGAAAAGGATCAAATAACAGGAATACTTATAATAACAAGTAGCCTATATTGCTTATTCCTGACTGTACAGTAGATTATAATACATTAAAGAATAATGGAGCTATGATATAAAAGAAAAACATAACACATTGTGAAATATTTGCTTTTCCGGTTTACATGTTTGGATTGATTGGATGTGGCAAAGATCCGACCAAAACTGTGATTTAATCATTGATAGAAAGTTTTAAGGAAATACAAAGCGCAGTAGGATGCTAACTATTAATAAAAACTCAAATGCTACATATTAATCTGAAGTTTTGTGACTTTCCGTTGTTTCTCTTGGCATCTATTATCCATCCAATCCAATATTATATAATATGTAATCACACTTTTTGTTTAAACAATGTAGCATATATTGATCATTCAAAATCTGGTAATATAAGCAAATAAAATCCTTTAAAAATTTTACAATCTGCAAAAATTGCTCATAAATCCTTCAACAAAACTGATCATGTTATACATAGTTACAAATATGCCTATATTTCCTGTTGGAAATGATTTTCCCTGAGTTTCCATAAAATAGTTTTCCATCCTTCTTTTTTTTATTTATAAATTTGATCTATAAGACATCAGCCCATCCTTTAAATGAGAAGAGGATTGTTTTAGCAGTGTGCAGATCTGTTTACTTAACAGGAATAATATAGCAACTATGTCTCTGTTAGAAATTGATAACAAGCCTAATTACATTTATGTGAGCAGCTTTTGGACAGAGGTATACTTATAGAGTAACTTTAGTGCACCATATTTTCTCCTTATACTTGAGTAATATCTTTATAAGATGTTAGCTCTCTTGGAGGTACTTTTCATTGTTTTACATACTATGAAAATACATTGATTTGTAAAAGTGTGTTTCTTCTGCCTGCATTTGGAGAAATTATTATCAAATATATTATTTATATTTTAAATGATTTTATTAAAACCTTGAAAATACCAGGACTTTGCATTTTACTCCATCTTATTGTATAATTTTAAATAATAAATCAGATGTTATGATGAGTTACTCAGTACCCGAGAAACCTTTTACCAAATACTTTTTACTATGATGAAGTAGTACTGCACACATCTTGAGTACTCTACCCACGTTTGCTCTCTGCTATTCAGCACCCCCCCCCACCCCCAACCCCCACTAAAACCAACCACTCATGGACATGGACAATACATGCACCTTAGTTTAGTTTTGTCTTCAATTTCATTTTAGCAATAACTCAGTTTCTTTTAGCAATAACTCAGTGCAATATATATATATATATATATATATATATATATATATATNGTAGCCAAGAAATCGACATTTTGTTGTCAAGATTCACCTTGTGTTTTTTGTGCAATGACAAAAAAGGAAGTCTAAGTCTATAATGATCTGAATGTGATCTGATTCATGGTCTCCCATCAGATTGCTTTCATTGAGAGAGGAGAGGAATTACAGAAACTGTCCCAGATCTTTGGGTTTGACCCATCTGCAGTCACTCAACTGGAACAACAGTGAGTAAAAGTGTGAATTTATCTTGATTCAAAATTGTTTGGGATACTTAGCTTTTAGAAAGCTTGCTCCAAAGTTTAAAATGTAAATTTTTAGCTATAATGGAAATTGATTAGAGGTTTTAGAGCATTTTTTTTTTTACAGCTTGTTGGTATTTTGTTGTCCTGCAGTGAGTTCTTAATGCCTGGAATGATAGACACCCACATCCATGCATCCCAATACAGCTATTCAGGCACAGCATTGGACATGCCTCTGCTGCAGTGGCTCAACAACTACACTTTTCCCGTGGAGTCACGCTTTAAGGACTTGGAGTTTGCAAATAAGGTCTACACCCAAGTGGTGGTGAGTTTATTCTCATTTTAGACATTTTTTAAAAGAACATGACGAGGAAATAATTGCAGATTTTAGCCTATATACAATTAAATATTTGATCTGTCCTGAAACATGTTTGCAGGTTTTTATACGAGTCCATGGCATCATTCTGCTGGATGGTAGCAAAAAAAAAGCAAAGTTATGTTTGCAACTTTAACAGACCATATTTAATTCACAAATTCCTATATGGACCGCTTCAGTATTAGGATCCTGGACCTTGGCTCAAAATCTGAAATCTTTTGATTGAACCTTAACTTGATTATACTACAGTATAAGTCAAAAAAAGGTTAGAATGTATCCACCATATTTTGTTTTTTTTTTTGTTTAGTTTTTTAATAAGCGAACACATTGTGTAACAGTGGGGTTGTTTTTAAGCAAACAGTAGTCTAAAAACACTACATAGCTTAAACCTGGCTTGACAATTCCTTACAAACAGTTTGGAAAGTTTTAGTTTTTCACGAAAGCAAAACAAATAATGTAATTTATGTTAAATCTGCCAGGAATTCAGGCTCATAATGCAAAAAAAGAAAAAGAAAATTATTATAAGGACAATAGTTTCTTAACAGAGAATGCCAAAAATTACAGAGTAACACTGTCATGAACTAATGCTTGGGTTTCCTCCTTAGAAAAGGACTTTAAGAAACGGAACAACCACTGCATGTTACTTTGCCACCATACACACTGATGCATCCCTTCTGCTTGGTCAGATTGCAAGTAAGGTTCAAACACAGACCAGCACTTTAACATCAAATTATGTATGGTTTAGATAGAACTTGTCCTCTTGAATGATTTATGCCTGTAACATACATGTGGTGCTTTGTCCTCGTCAATGGTAAAAAAATAAAAAGAAAACATTTATAAAAACTACATACATACACATAAATAGATTATTATGGCGGACTTTAAGCTTTGTAGCTCTGATATTATTTATATAAACTGATGAGGGAAGTGGAACCTCTGAAAATGTAATGTGTCCTCTAAAGTGTCTTGTGACACATCTACAATGACGTGTCTCATAATTGCCTAATTTGTCTCAGCTAAAAATCATTAAGCTCCACTATTATTGTCTAAATTAGTGCAACATAAACAAACGTGAATGTAAGGATCACATGTTCTAGATGAAACGGGCAGATCAGATTTTTACTTTTGTTTGCTGTATTTACTCTCTGCTCAGTGGGAAATGTCTTTGAAAGCAGACTGATCCTTCACCTTTATGCCTTGTTCTTATTATCTCATACTCGCTGCATTGCTTAACAGTGGACATATACTGGGATAAAAATGCAACACTGCAAATGCTCTGAATCAAGTTCAGGTTTGGCAGCTTTAAACTGTCATTTATGTAAGCAGAGTCATCGGACCTTGATCTTTGATCTTTTCTCACCAGCTTTTATGTAGCCAACTGTCAGACATAAGAACAGGTCTGAGCACATATCCATGTTCCAGGATTTTTACAGGAAGTACTTGTGTTTATTGTTCCAGCTTCATTTAATTGGCTTATTGCTGAACTGGAATGCATTTACCCATGAAGAGTCTTAGCAAAATTACTCAGTACAGAAACTTTGACTAACCTGCCGATCCTGCATTAAATTCATACTACTCAAGTAGTTTTTCTTCTCATAAAAGATTAAGTTACCATAACTTTTAAAAAACAAACTGTACAATAAAATTACTTAAATTATGCTAAGCATGTCTTTGCAGGGCAGTCTTTGCCCCATCATCCCACAGCAATTTAATTTATTAATAGGGGCCAATCTTATATTTGTAATAATGTCTTTGTTTTTTACAGATCAATGTCCAACTTTTATGTAGATTACTAACTATGTATTTTATTGTTTGCACTAATTTTTAATGTTGTTGTTTTATTATGTTGGCATTTTAAACCTTGTCCAGTGACTACAGTTGAAAATTAGCTACTTAGCTAACACTGGCTCATTTACAGAAATTTTTATTAATGTGCACTGTCCCTGTTCAAATAAACACGTAAATAAATAAAATAATAAATAAATTCACATTGCATGTCAAAACATGTCCTCCTGCAGTCTAAGTCTATAGCAGTCTAAGTATAGACATGAGACAGGATGACCTGAGACACTAACAAGAAGTTTTATCAAAAAGGAAAGATTTAAACCTTGCCTTAAAAGTAGGCAGGGTGTCTGCTTTACGGACTAAAACTAGTAGTTTGTTCCACAGAAGAGAAGCAAGATAGCTAAAAGATCCTGCTTCCTATTTAACTTTTTAAATTATAGAATCCACTGGTCAGCCTGAAGATTGGGAGTGAAATTATCTGTTAGGAAGACAAGGAACAATTAGACCTCTCTTATAAGATGGAGCTCTATCATTTAGGGCCTTGTATGCAAGAATAAAAATTTCAAATTTAACAGTTTCTGTAAATAGCTAAAGCTAAAAGATCTCTCTTTTTAATTTTAGTGGCTTCAGCATTTTAGATCAGCTGAAACACATTCATGCAACTGTGTGAGGCTGTGTTGTGTGTTTTTAACCCCAGGGTAAAGGTTTTTTTGTAATGTAACATACAAACAATTGTGTGTTTGTGTTTTTCTTGTTCCGTTGTACTTGAAGTAGTAACTTCTAACCTGCAATGATAAGGTAGATGCTATAGTGTGTTTGTATAATTGCAGGGTAAAAGCTTTACTCAGAGTGAAGAATGTGATTATCACCAGGCAGGCAGGTTAACGAGGTGAACAAGGGTTGGGCTTGTGTGTTGTATTGTAATACCTGTCCTTGTTCTTCTTTTGAAATATGGCATTTAAGGAACAGTGTCTAAAGTGTTAAAGATGAAAACAGCTTAACTTTAATCTTGTTTTAAGAAAAAGAAAGAAAAAAAGATCTAAACTTCTCTCATTGATACCAAAGTGCATTTACAGTACTAGTCCATCCGTTCCTGCCATTTGTAGTTATCCATATCAGCACATTTAACAAATAAAATGATCATCTTGATACAGATTGGTACTTATTGATTAAGGGGAGCGAGATTCAAAATGTCCATCTCAAACCTAAAAACATATTTTATGGAAATATCACAATATAATTTTGCAGTATGTCTCTTCTTGCACAACTCTTATTAAAACAAATCACTTAATTTCTTTCTACTTATAATTGATGATACAAATCAAGAAAGGCTTTGATCTGCTGCAAAGAATATTCACATCAAAATCAAGACATAGGATATGCATGGGATTACAGTTTGGCTCAAAATTATACATAACCACAACAGATTTAATTCATTTTCATGAACACGTTTCACTGAGGAATATACAGAAATATTCCATGAATTTTTGGAATATACTTTATTCCATTAATTAGAATATGCAACCTAATGAGGTTCACTTATCCAATTAAAATTACCCTTTAAAAATAACTGTTAAGCTAGTTTTCTTTTAACCCTAGTATGCTTTTATTGGCTTATTTTAATGTTGTAGTCGTAATTTTTTTTTTTTTTTTTTTTAAGCTAGTTTTCTTTTAACCCTAGTATGCTTTTATTGGCTTATTTTGATGTTGTAGTCCTAATTTTATTTTATTTTTTTTACATAATTGTATCTGGAAAACCATCATAATTACTTAAAAAAGGTATTTAAAACAGTCTATGGGCAATTGATCTATGTTTTGTGATTAACTTAGTGGATTGATTTACTTTATTATTAAAATTATCAATGCAATTTGAGTCTAAAAATAGCACATACAAAAAGCTGTTCACCAAATTTAAGAGGTATTTGATTGCTGCAATGCAAATCTGCTTTTCCACCATTATTAAAAGCTTTTCTGTATCATTTTTAACATGTCATAGTTAATTAAATTGAACCTAAAAACATGTTATTACTTTTAATTTGGTTTCATTATTGTTTAGAGCAGGGGTGTTCAAGTCCAGTCCTCAAGAGCTACCATCCTCTAACTCTTACATGCATCCCTTCTCTAACACACCTGAATTGACAGGCTCAATCCCCTCCTTTAGCTCAGCAGAGGCATGCTAACGAGCCACTCATTTGATCCAGGTGTGTTAAAATGGGATGCATCAAAAAGCTGCAGGATAGTAGCTCTTGAGGACTGGACTTGAGCACCCCTGGTTTAGAGTATACATGTCATATTACTATCAGAGATAAATCCTTAGTTAAATGAATAATCCGAGTATGAAAGTGGTATGAATATTTTTGGGTTTAACTGCAGTTGTAAACATTATAGAGAAATACAAGCACTACTTCTAATTAGCAGTGTAGCAAATAATGTTCATAGCATCTGATGTTAGACTTTATTTTTCTAATTCTATTGTTCTGATTGCATTTGCAGATGACTTTGGGCAGCGTGCCTTAGTAGGTAAGGTGTGTATGGACAGAAACGACTTTGTAAAGCATTACAAAGAAACCTCTCAAGAGTCTCAAGATGAGACCTATCGGTGAGTGCTGTTCGGTACATTTATAGACTCATCAAAAAACATGAACAGTTTTAAAACTGTTTATATGAACAATATTTGTTGTCATTAGTGATTTCACAGCAGGGAAAGTTAGAATTTTCCAATATTTCTATACACTCTTATTTTTTATTGTATCATATTTTCCCAGATTTTATTTTGTTTCATTTGAAGTCTTTTTTTTATTGTTTCCTATTTTGCGGATGTAAACCATTTCACACCATTTTCCAACCACATTTGAGTTAGAATGATTCCGGTCCTACATTTAGGCAGATTTTTATTTTCATTATTTTCATCCACATTGTCTAATTGGGGAGCAAAATGGTTGTGTTTAAAGGTTCACCTTCATTTCAGACAAGAATAATTTGTCTGGAGGAATAATATTATTTGCAACCGCATACTGGTATCACCAGAAGTGGGTAGAGCATCTATGCATTCTTTTCACTACTAAAATTATCCTACTCAAGTAAGTCAAAAGCTGTTTGGTAGAAAGTATTCGATAAAAATGCTACTAAAGTACCCTGTAACTGATGGTGACATTTTACTTAATATTTGATAAGAACGCTTTTAGAAAGACAAATAAAGTTCTGTACAAATTCAGGAACCTTAAATACCAAAATTAAAACCTAAACCAAACAACAGATAACCAAAAATAACCAAATCATACGGAAGAAACACATTTGCAATGATCTTGTTTGAATAAATCTAATGTTTACAGTAGATCACGTACATATGTTTGAACAGAGTAAAGTACCTCCAGTGACATTATCTACTGTTTGCTGTGTATTCACCTGACCTGTTGCCCAGCAGGCTCAGCAGATAGAAAGTCATGTAAAAACAAGAATGCACCTTTAAACAAGGTTTGTCTTTCTGTGTTTGACTGTTAGATTTTTTATTCTTATAAAGGTTGCTCTTCATGCGCCTCAAGTCAAAGTAGCAATACCTCACATTATTACTGAAGTCTAAAGTACACTGCAGTAAAACTAAATTGCTAATGTAACTGATTACTCACCATTGGGTGTGACACATAACGCATTTTAACAGCAAATCTGGACAGTTTGAGAGGGAACTGTAGAAGTTTCACCACGATGCATTATAATTAGTATTAGACTCTTATATCCTGAAAAATGAATCTGCTTTAATCATCTTATTGTCATGGTTTTGGTTCTTTTTAAGGTTTCTTTTTTGCGTCCAGCTCCTCCTAGCTCCCTTCTAGATTCTTCTGTCCACACCTGCTCCTAATCTGCTGATTAGACTAGTCTTTATTCAGTCTCCCATTTATAATCCTCCTCTTCAGTTACTGTTTGCTGGTTCCTCTTATTTTCTTAGCTCCTCATGTGTGGTTTCCCTGACATCTCCTGGTTTTTGGTTTTTCTGTGCTTTCTTCTGGACTTTGCTTCTGTTTCCTTTGGATCAACATTAGATCTACAAGAAACATGAGTGTCAGAACCCTCCATTTAGCTACACTCAAATAATGAAATTGAAGAATTATATTTTCACAAACTTGGATATAGTTGGAGTTGGGGGAACCAGATCCGATCAGGGTAGGAAGCCAACTGTATGGAAACCATATCAAAACAGGAAAAAATAACTTGCATCTAAAATTCACTCATGAGTTATCAAATTATTGTAGGAAAAATGCTTCCATGTCTATTAAATATGCCAAACTACTATTTGTGCACTGCAAATCAGTTTTCTTCTGAAACCATGATGGCATGCAGCCTCAAGTCGCTGCTTGTTCTTTCCATCTTCTCTGCAAACCAGTTTTTAAATGGTGTTCAACCTTGTGTGTTTGCTTAGTTGTTTGCACCATGTGACTCTGTTTGGTCCTCTGATTAACAAGCATCATAGTGACTGTTGGACTGGCTCCATACCGACCATAAACTATTTGGCATGAAGATTTTATTCATGTGAAGCAGACTGCTTTGCTTGAATACTTGAAGAAATTCCCAGAGGGGGAAACTTTAGTTTTACCAAATTATTTCAACAAGCCCTGTAACAGCTGTTAAGTTGTTTACTAATGTGAACATTCACGCTCCGGAGTCTGTTTACAATGATGAAACAATTATCATAGCAACGATTGTTTACTTCTAAATTTCCAGTTTTATCTCAACCACACATATGTTTATTTCACAAAGAAGGTCCATCTTTTCTGATGTAATAATACTCCCCTGCACCTTTGGGGGACATTATATTGTGCACTTATGTCAATTAACAGTTTAATTGATAGAACAGTGTTTATCTAATATTTTTCTCAGCATAGATACACAATGGTTTGTCAAATGTGCTGCACCTATTATCCATCACTGATTAATCATACACATCAATGTTTGTTTGATTGTTTTTCTCCAAAAGGTTCATCAAAGAACTTCTGAGCAAAAAGGTAGGATTCTGCCTGTAAAAGACTCAAAAATAATATTTCTCCCAAATTTTAAGATTTATAGAATTTTTTACATGACTAATTCTCATGTACTTTTTAAAAAAAATTGCAACACAAACCTATTAAATAAAACTTAAATGATGCATATTCATTAATTTAATATAGCCCATTAATTTAGTTTATGTGTCTAGAACTAATAAATTATATAGTATACATAACATACATCACAAAATGAACACTAATTAGCATATTTATATCAAATAAATGAAATGTACTTGTTATGTCAGGCTACCTTTATGTAATTCAAACAATAATCTTTATGTCTTTATGAAATAAATACACTCACTAGTATAAATTTTGAGTAAGTATATATTATAAAGATGAAATACATAAACCTGCTGATTATGTATTTGAAATAAATATGATTTATGATACAAATAAATATCAATCATCTAAGGTTTAGGTATTTAGGTTTGTGTTTGAATGATCTAAATAAATAACGTATTGTTTATCTCATACATTTACTTATTTCTTAAAATTGGGGTGAAATATTTCTGTGAATTCATATAAAGAAATGGATCCGCTCTGTTGTCTGACTGTTTGTTATGTTTGTGTGTTGGGGGGGAATCGGTGGTCCTAACAGTACCCTCTGGTGAAGCCTGTGGTCACTCCACGTTTTGCACCATCCTGCACAGAAGCCCTGCTTGCTCAGCTGGGAGCTATTGCCAAAAATAACAACCTGCATATTCAGGTGAGTTCTTATGGTCGACCTGAAAGCAGAGAACATTAATTGTTGAACCTAAAGGGATTGTTTTCTATTAATTTATTTCAGAGTCACATCAGTGAAAACCTGGAGGAAGTAGAGCTTGTAAAGCAGCTTTTTCCCAAATCAGGGTCTTACACAGACATCTATAATAAATGTAACCTTCTAACTGACAAGGTGGGAGCACAGTCTCATCCAGGAGCAAGAATGTGAATCTTTTTATAAAAATTGAATAAACTAGTCATAATGCTCTCAATGTGAATGCCTTGCAGACGGTTATGGCCCATGGTTGCCACCTCAGTGATGAAGAATTGGCTCTATTCAGAGAAACAGGAGCTGCTTTGTCCCACTGTCCCAATTCAAACATATCGTAAGTCTTTGCAAAGGCCCAGGGCTGATGATACAGTCCGGACAGTAAACAAACATATGAAGTGATTTTTTTTTACAGATAATGGTCTCCCTATTTAACCAGGTTGTGCAGCGGAGTGTTGGATGTACGCAACGTTCTAAATCACAAAGTGAAGCTAGGGTTGGGTACAGGTGAGTGAAAGAGTTTAATCCCACATTATAGTCTGAAACATCGGATTTTGAAGTTAGTTTGTGATTTCTAATTCATTTCGTTGGCAGGTATATAAACTATAACGTCCAACACAAATGAGATCTAAGATACATGCCAGTGAATGTTTGTAACCTTCTCTCTGTTATGCATCAGATGTAGCAGGAGGCTACTCCTCATCTATGCTTGATGCTGTGAGAAGAGCCCTGGACTCATCCAAAGTCCTGACCATCCAGGACCCAAAACACAAAACGCTCACCTTTGAGGAGGTCTTCAGACTGGCCACACTGGGAGGGAGCCAAGGTAGGAACCAGTATGAACTGTTGCTTCACATGGCCTTACAAAGCCATTTTCCATTACCATCACAATCTTCACTGTGGTTAATTAGTTTGTTTATGTAATAGATCAACATTAAGTGGTGTGTAACAGAAACCTGAAAGGAAGGGGACACATTTTTAAGGATGTTTTACAGATAAAAAGCTGAAACGTTTGCAATGCATAGTTTTTAAAAAACATATCCCAAGCTTTAAACGTCTCACAGGGCAATGTTTAGATGATTAAATTAAACTGATGGGTTAAGCAGCAAGAGGATCCGTTAAAGAAGCAGGAAATCTTATAACAGGAAATTGAGAAATCCACAGCCAGTGGGAAAATAAATGTGCAATACCATTTATTATGTTTGTGAAGGAGTAAAGTAAATCAAGGACTTGGTTTATTTTTCATGTTAAAAGCCACGAGGGGTTGAGAAAAAATATGTTGAGGAAGAAACTCTCTTGGCACCACAGTCATTTTTTCGGTCTAGAACCAAAATGTTTTGTGTAATGGAAAACTTACACAGCGTACATACTCTGAACACATCATGGTATCCTCAAGGGGAAGCATAGTGGTGGTGGCATAAAGCTGTGGGGATACCCTGCTCAAATTTGCTCAAATTTGATACACATTTTATTCAACAATATAGTGTGAAGAGGTATGTTTGGATTAAACTTCTGTTTCTTTACCATTTTGGAAATTTTCTTTTGGATTAATTTATTGTTGAGAAGGAAAAACAACACTTTCTATTGTAACTGATGCTTTTAGCCGTGTTATTTTTGCATTGTGTTAATTTAAAGGGCAGACAGTCACATTTTGTATGCTCTTTTCTCTCAAACATACATATAATGATCCTTTACTTTTAGACCATAATTTGTTATTGTTGCGCCCCATGAATTGGAATGAAGTCCAATCCCTAATTTCATAACAGACTTGTAAATATTTGGTATTTCTGTCTAAAGCCCTCTCCCTGGATGAGCAAACTGGAAACTTTGAAGTGGGAAAAGACTTTGATGCCCTGAGAGTTAATGTGGCTGCTCCAGGGGGACCCATCGACCTGATCGAAGATGAAAATCCAAAGGTAACAGAGTAATATCTGAATATATTACTGTAAGACCTAAAGTCAAATCAGTCAAAGAGTTTATCTTAACTACAACATTAATCATTTGACATTCAGGTTCTTTTGGAGAAGTTCTTGAATTTGGGTGAGCTACGGTTTCTTTTTGGTTTCATTCACATGTTTTGGTTTTAGTCTTCCGATTCTCACACGTGTAACTGTTCCCTCATTTGTTTTTTTGTTTTTTGTTTTTCACAGGTGATGATCGAAACATTATGGAGGTGTTTGTTGCTGGGAGAAAAGTGGTGCCTTTGAAAAAGCCATGAGCAGACATACCTTCCTCACAAGGACATTTTAGGGCAGATTATTTAATAGAGCCTGAGTTAAGCCAAGCCTGAATTTAGTCTGGAATCAGTAGATTTTAAATCAGGAAACAAGGCACTTTTTAAATACTAGGAAGTTTGTCTTTTCCAAGATATCATTACCCAAGAGATTTACAGTATTATTTACTACTTATGCACCTTCTTTCTTGTATAGTAGGCCTAATTAATCCACACTGAAAAAAAAGGTTTTATTCCTGCACACATTGATTAAGTTGTATTACGACAATCAGTAACATATGACTTGGTGCTTTTCATTGTACTCAGGGTGCAGAAACTGCAGTAGTTTTGATGCCGTTTTTTTAGGCCTCTGTGTTGAAAGATTCCTTGTGGCAGAAGCTGAAGCTGAGCTTTAACCACTGGACACTCCAACAAAATACAGCCTTGACAAAAAAGTGTTGAAGTGAAAAGAGAAATTGATCTTTTTTTTTTAGTCACCTTATCAGTGACTAAATTGGTTTAGTTCTTTACATCTTTGGGCATACACCAATAAAGGATTGATCTTATATATATATATATTTTGTAATATTTTGATATGCACTTTTGAAATAATATTGAATTTAGAAGAAAGCAAACTTTTTCACTTTTCTTATTAACAGTATTTAACTCAAGTTTGCTTTTTACTGAAAGGGTTGCTAATTAAATCTAAACACTGCACGCTGTGACTGAGTTATTTTTTGTGTTTAAGATCATTCTCATTGTTGTTTTGATCTGTTACACAACATGAACTATAATAAAAATGAATAAAGAAACATCTAAAAGCTATTTGTGATTTTAACTTATTTATTTTTTCTGTTTGTCATTTGAGATTGTGGATGACATTTTAATTCATAGCAAAAATATGATAGGTTCAGTCAACACCTTGATTTAGAACACAGCCTCATCATGTGGGTCTAATCTAGTTTTTAGAACATTATTAATAGTTTTACATAAAGAGGTAATACCAGCTCAGCCACTAGAGGGCAGAAAAGATCAAATGCAATATACTGCCCCACACTACATTAAATTGTGGTTCAGATTATTTGAACTAATTGAGATATTAACAGTCATCAGTATCTTACCTATAGTAGACTGAGGAATGAAAAAAAATGTAAGTAAAAAAGAAACTCTCTTTATCAGACCTGACCTCATATTTCTTTTTTTAATGTTTTTTCCAAACTGTAATTTTCAGTCCAAATCAAACCTAAAAATATCAGACAAATATAACTCTTTTAAACTTTAGTAGTAAAGAACCCTTTGGAGTATGCTGCATTTTTACAGGACAGACTAGAATTTCCAAACATTTTTATAAGAACAGTGGTCACTTTGCTCACTGTAAACATTTTTTTAAATTCGTTTACAACAAATGTATTCTCCAGGAGACAGACTTAACAGCTAATATGTGAGAGAAAGGAAGTTAAGTAAGTAGTTAACCAGGTAAGATGTAATCCATATAAAAACCACGTGATAGATCTCAAACCAAAAGAAAAAAATGGTTACATTGTTCTATATCCTTGCCACACCTTGTTCTTTTATGTGCTACAAAAATGACAACATACTAATACATACTTATACAATACGATATTTAATACAGTATTGGTATAATAAAATAATTATATAACATAAAATAATTGTGCCACATATTTTTGATATAATTCTTCAAGAAGATTGTTTTAAGAATGTTGTGATCAGGGGCGGCGCCAGGAATTTGGGGCCCAGTGAAAGACATTGACATTAACTTAATGGACAGATTGTTTTTATGCTGGCCTTGAGAATTCATATTTCATTCATACATGCATATAATGACAATAACACACATATTTTTGGTGTGGCAGCTTCAGGCTGTACATGGGAATTATTAACATTTATAGATGTCTTTTAATGGCCGAAATTCAATCTGAATATAAAAATCTACCTGAACTATTCTAATATTGACAGGGAAATTAATACAGGCTCCTGGAAGCTACTCAATGTTTTCTTAAACTGTCCAGGACCCAGTACAAACAACTGCAGGCTATTTTTATTTTATAGTGGTTATTATGTAGAAAAAAATATTTTTTTATATTTTTAGATATTTAAATATAAAAAAGTTTAATTTTAAGTTTTTTAAGTGGTAAAAAAAGGGAAAATCCCATAGACTGCAATGATGCTGTCTGTCCCTGAACACAATGTAGCACACCTTCTTCACTGGGGGGTTGATGAGACAGCAATAATTCTGGTGGATACTCTGTTTAAATAATGGAGGAGGAATGAGGGCAGTTATTTAACATAAATATCCTACTGAACATTCACTAGCGTTCATGTTTCCCCTCTGTAGACTATGACGGTTGTTTTCCTGTTACCTGGTCTGGTTTGTAAATGTAAATTTTCAGCTCTGTGAGCTTTCTGGCGTGGTTGCTTGGCCCTTAGTTACAGACACACTATAACTTCATTACAAATGCTGAATTAATCCTGGTTTATTTTTTTCTTGAAAAAACTAAAACAAAACAAAAAAAAACAATATGAAGAAAACCTTGTAATCATTTTCTGTTTAAGATTTACAGCAGTATCGACTAAATCTGTGACACGTTAACATATGTGACTGCGGAGGGTGATAGCGAGCATCTGTCTCAATAAACATCTTAAAGAGAATCGAGAAGAAGAGCACCTACGTAAATTATGTAGGCACTCATACAGCAGAGATACTAAGGTTTAAAATGGGTGGTGTTGTTTTTACACGAGTCAATGAATGCTCATGTGCTCTCGTTTTAATGTGTTAACCAATTGTAAGCATTTGATAAATATTTAACGTAGAATAAATGATCCAAAGTGCTTAAATTGAAGCTTTAGTTTTATTATTGGTTTGATGTGTCCTATAACTGACGGACTAACCTCATTTAACACAAAGGTGACCATTCATTTGCAAGAAACACAGCTCACAATTAGGTACACTTCACTTCAGATAATGTGACCCTGGGAATCCCATCAGACCTCAATGTAACTCAGCTTCAGACTCCTACATTCTCCTTGATGCAGCCTTGAAATTAACATCTAATAACTCAGAATGCATGAAAATTACACCGGTAAAATGTTTACCAATATAAAGATGTTAGACATTGTTGGAAAGCTTAGATTTTCCACAATTCAAACACTAAGTTCATTTTATGAATCACCAAAGCACAATTAACACAGATAAAGCAGCATGTCAAAATGTAAACATGACATAGCAGCCACAACAACAAGCATGTCTATATTGCTGCTGTTCAAAAAAGAGCTATTATTTCTGGAGAATAATAAAAACAACTTTGAGTCATGTTTGAACTGATGCAGCTTGGGTTGTGTTTTACTCACCCAAGTTTCATGTATATATGCAGAAACTAGAAGGTGTTAGCTTTCTAATAATGTATCATACATGTAATTTGGGCTTAAAGTTCCTAAGTTATATGCTTTTCTAGTTGGGTATGGAAAATAGGCGAGGATTTCCCAAATGTGACCCTGTCTCTAAATACCTGGGAATTACATCAGACCTTTATGCCTACCTGCCTCTTTCTAACTTAGTAACTAACATCAATATTTCAGTAATTATAAATCCATACATTTCTTATATTTGAATAAGCTTTCATAACTATGAAATATATGTTAATTATCTTTAAGCTTTATTTTGAGCTTTCTCCTGCTTGGCGGTACAGGCCATGCGTAGATAAGATTAATTACCTCAGGTCATAACATCATGTTGATAATCAAACTGTTATTCCATAGTGTAAGCCTGTATCCTAATTCTCTGTGTTTATTTTTATCTTATTTCTATTATGGCATGTATCTTTGAGATACATAATATTGTGGTAATTCTAGTATTTCTAATTTTCTGTACTCTGTGGTTCTACATAAAATCGAATCTATTGGTGACAGAAAAAAAACCCACACTTGGCATGTGTAACATGTATATTTGCTTAGTTTCCAGGTGTATTGTGCTTAACACTGTCTTTTAATCAGACTGTAGTGAAATTGGTGATTCATTTCTCAGTGCTTATCATCTCTTACGTTAGTTTTGTTTAAATCATTACTATTCACGATAATCTTATAGTGCCTACATATAAAGAATCTTGTAATTATTTTGTCTTTTGAAATACCTCCGAACTTTGAACCCAGCAAGCCCATCTTTGTACCGGGGATTTTGAAACCCGTTGTACTGTCTTGCAGGACTAAATAAGCCGCCTGTGAATCGTTATGTCTATTCGGCAAAAGTTTAAATGATTTGATAAATCCTTTATTGTAGAGCTAAGACTGTGGATACGGTTGGAATTTGTTCTTAGTTTTCTGTGCAACCATTTGGTAATAAAGACTCCTGAAAGACAAAAATCAGGTAAAACTTAATTATTTCTAGGCAGTTATCAGGAAGTGACGTAACGACGCGTCTTTTTTATTTCTTCCTCTTTGTAAACTAATAGACTTTCAGCACCTTAATCTGGAAGGTATGTTTCCTTCTACTTAAACACAAGCATTTTTATTCTGTCCCCGAAATATAACAGTACAATAATTTTACTTGACAAAAGCGAACAATGTTTGATTAATCATTTGAATCTCTAACCTGATTTTCATGGCGTTTTTTTTTTTATTAGCTGCGCTTGTTTCGGTCTTAAGATTTAATAATTATGTCCGTCGGCCGATATAATATTTATCTTTTATTTATTTAATATTTTCCAACTTAAGCTTCCAGAAGAAAACTGATTCTTCAAAGGTGTGCGTTTGAGTCGTTTTTCTGTTTATAAACATTGGGGAAAAGCGACTTTTATCATATTTCTACATTGATTATATGTTTGGTGTAGGGTTGTACAAAAACAGTAAGGAAAGCAAACATGGATGCTGACAAATAAATGACATTAAATTCAATTCCCTGTTTTAGTTTATTAATTCGGTTATTACTTTGCATCTAATACCCACATAATGAATAGAGACATAAATTATATAATTTAATGCATACAGAAGAAGAAAAATACTTTTTTCCCCCTGTTTGTTGACTGATAAAAAGATCTACAGGCTGTTTTGGTTGATGGGAGTTCAGGAGGTTTCAGGAGGAGAAACTAAAAACATTATGGACTGCATCAGTCCTACCATCTGGCTTCTTGAATACTTGGCTTAAAACGATTGGAAAAGATCTGAAAAGCAAATCTGTGCATTTCAGCCTGTCTGATATTTGCCAGATTTTTCAGAAATGCGCACACAGTTTCCACATTCTTCAATCTTTTTTTCTTGCAGCTACATGTAATACATCTTTAAATGAAGAATTCAATAAAAATGCAGATTAGGGGAAAAAAAACAAGTAAAAATTTAATGGATATTCACAAGATAAATCTGATCAGCTGCCTCGTGTAATATCAGGTGTATTCAGGATGGAAAATGTTTTTTGTCTTGGTTGAATAAATACTTGCAACAGAACAGCTAAGGACTTTGTGACATTTTATTCATGTTTTAGTATAAATACATAGAGTTAGACTTCCATCAGAATTTAAAGTAGGTGGAATAGTTTGTCAATTTGTTTAGAAAACTCACCTGAAATACTTAAAATGAGGCTACATATCAAAAGCATATTGTCACCTACTTTGTTTTAAATTCAGAAGCATTCAACATCCTCTGCAGCTTGGACACCAGCTGAAAGCCCATCATGCCTCTGTTTCGGGCTTTGGATGAACAGGCTGAGGCGAAGGCGAGGCCACGGCGGAGGGATCTGAGGAACTCTAAGGGGGCTGGA